GGAAAGGGAAAGATGCGGTTACTACCAGCGTTGCAGCCTGTACAATCAAGCGATATCAAATGTAAAAAAGAAGAGAAGGTTTCCTCCGGATCCCGTCTCAACGTACTGCGTCTGAGCCAGTTCAGCTCTCTGGGTGACCAGCTTCATGCGAAACATTTGGTGATCATAGACACAACGAGACCGGGTTATCGAATACTTCGTTACGCGATAAAAAATGACATCCGTGTGGCCGGCTAGAATTTGGATCGCCACCACATCGCTCGTCGTGTGTCCGCGAAGAAAATCGACTCGAACCAATCGCTAGTAGTTAGCAGCGGCGCAAGTAGTTTTACAATAATACTTTTGAAATAGCGAACTCGGCTGCATACCTTCAACCACGTCTCAGTCGAGTACATCTATCACATCCTGAAGAATTTTCATCGACGTTGGCAGAGATCAATGATAAACGGTTTTCCTTTCGGGAACACTGTCTTCGTATTAGCTAGAAAAAGGGGCGTCACTACAGCGAGAGCTGTTGCAAAAATAACCTTGAGCTTATTAAAACAAGAAAACCTTTTGGGGCACCGTGTTGTCATTCTCTTGCGGTTGACTCTCCCCGTTGTGTATATGGGATAGCGTACTTTTTTGTTTGTCTTACAAGAAAGAACAGCGGTTTCGAATGCCTCCGAGCTATGCCATTTTCTCCTTCGTGTGCACGCTACATAGGCTTTATTCCCTGCTTGGGGTCCGGCTGTGACTCGCAAGCAAGTCGCACAATTTTTCCGAAAGGGACATCTACTACTGCTGCTGTTGGTAACACGCCTTTGTGTCGCGTTTTTGCTCGCAAGGGGCACAGCGATCGAAGTGAGAGAATCCTCTCCCCTGCCCCCCCCCCCCCCCACGGTACCAAGCCTGGGGGTAGATATTTGCGGCTCACAATCCACGCGAACATGCAGAGTGTGTACCACACGCCTCCCCTTGGATCTACCATGGGTGATGATGCATTCAACGAGCGAATCATCTTATCATTTATGTGATACTTCGCTAAATTTGGCTGAAAAAGGGTATTTTCGGGGCCAACATTCTCCATTTATCGCAGAGTTCTATCCGGTTAAAGGAAAAGTGCTTCTTCGGGTGGAACCAGCCCACACTACGCTCAAGTGATATGCTCGCCCTCGGACAAGGAGGAAGCCGGGCACTCGGTTAGTCTTTCATGGAACAACCTACACTGCTGTACCGCGGTTAGGTATTATAATAAAACTCCTTTCGCGGGACACGGACAAGAAGAGCGCAGTTTGGCAAGACGAACACACCGTCTGCCAACCGCCGACCAACTCGCCCACATATTTGTCTGCTGCCTTAGATAGCCCACCAGGGCTTGTTGCCGAGTGCGGGTGGGTGGGCGGATGGGTGACATAAAGAGTACCACCGCAAGACGGGGAGAGCTGGCACCTCCCCTTGATCGACCTTCAAAGCTCGATTGCTCCACAACCAAATGGGTGCCGAAAGAGCCCGATACGATTACGGAAAGCCCTCGACGAGATGTTTCCAACACCACCATTGTTGGTATTGGCGAAGCTTGGCTGTGGAGTAATCGACTTTTGAACATCGGTCAAGGGGCGTGCCACCTCTCCGCCTCTTGGGGTATCTGAGAATTTTTGAAGCAAGTGTTTCGACTGCTGTACAAGCAGGAGCTACAAATAACTGTTCTGTGTTACAAAATGATACATTTGCCCGGTTGTTGGGGGAGATTCCGAGTTAAACCCACATGCCACAGGGCCAACAGGCGACCGCTTCTCTTTACCATCACTATTGCTGTATACATGCGCGCTGGTTATGAACAGCATGCTTGTACTGCGGGTATAGTTTTGGGCCTCTTCAGAACAAGCACAGGAGTTACACGGGAAGGACGGCAGCTCGGGGCGACCAGCTCCGTTGACTCACGTGTCGAAAGACAAACAGCTCCTTCACGCCAGAGAAGCGCTGCTTCGGGACCTGCTTCACAGCCACCTCATCGGGTAGCATGGGGTTCAACATGTTTATCCCGATTCTCTTGTCTCCTTGTCTCCTTGTGTTAGGTGGTGTGCGTCAACCCCGGCGGCTCTACTTTTAGCCCGAGGCTGGAGAAAGCGGGTAGATTTTGCTTTTTGGCTGTGGTTCAGTGGGGTTCTCGTTTGGAACCATCTGGAGAACTCCACCCCCCCCCTTTGCCTGATCTTGTCACAACGGGCAAATCCCCGGTGCCCCAACGTCAACTGACCGACCCACACCACAACACACCGCCGAGCGAGGGAGACCGAGAGAACCAGAGAGCGGGAGAGAGAGAAACATATTTGGCAGCCAGCATCGACCAATCGCTGCTGAAAAGCCGACGATTCTCGTGCTGGTTTGTTCCTTGAGTCTAAGCGGAGGAGTATTGACAGCAACCAGAAGAAGGGGACAAAAAATAAACCGTTTGTCGATTTTTTGCCAAAGGAAAGGAGCGCGCGTTTCCAACGATACATCTATACCTCCACGCAGCACAACATGATGAGCTACCTCGCCGTCGGAAATCTCCTGGAGGACACCATCACGCGCAGCGCCCAGAATCAGAACGGTGCGGATGACGAGCTCAGCTGGCTGCGCAGGCGGCTCGACAGCGAACGGCGCGACCCCCGCGCCCGAGGCAAACTCGCCCTCGAGAACGTCGACGGTATCAGCAGCAGCGGCGGCAGCGGCAGCAGCAGCAGCAGCGGCAGCCAGCCGCAGCCCCGCTCGGTGGCGAAGAAAGCGGTACCCGTGGACAAGGAGAATGCTTCCGCTGCTGCTGTGGTGAAACCCGCTGGGTCTCGCGCTAACAAGGTGCGGTTTGTGTTGCCTTGATGTCAACTCGACGAGTCCATGTGTTTTTGGCGCAATAAAAAAAAAAATATATCGTCCCAGCCGGAGTTAGTTGGCGGTCTGCCCCGGTGTGAACGATTAGATCGCACTAGTCATTGACCGTGCCTCGCCCATAGTAGTGGTATGGGTAGACAGGTGGCGGGAAACCTAAGAGTCCTGCCGTGGTATGCTTTCTATCTACACCACAGCAGTACTCACGGTAGGACACGTACGTGCTGCCGGCTCCTTGCTCGGGGTATCTTTTGGCGCGAATTTCCGGTTGGCCTAGAGAACATTACAATGAGAGAGTCTCTCTCCCGACCTCCTCCCCCCGATAACGCGCCGAAAAGCGAGGCTTATTCCTGTGTTGCTGCAGTAAGCACGTCTTTGCTCGAGCCCTCTCTGCCGCGTTCGCAGCAGTACCAGCAACACACAACTTGGTCCATAACAGCACACGCTTGGGCGAAAACAGCCGCAAGGCCGTTTGTTAGTGAAGTCCATGTCCCGTTGGACCATAATCATCTCGCCCCCTCCTCCCCTAAACTCCTCTGGCAGGCGTCTCCCACGGGCATGAGCGTACTTCAGCTACGGCGCTTCTTGCGGGCCATCGGGCAGCCCACGTCGGGCCTGAAGCCGGTCCTCTCCGCCCGCCTAGAGAAGGCCGTGGCCTCGGGCGCCGTGAAGACGTTCGTCGACACCGCAAGGGCGCAGCCGCGCGCAGCGGTTGAGTGCGGTGAGCGAGCGCATGCATTTCCGCGTGCGGCCTTTACTTATGTTGGCGGCATTTTGGTATGTAGCATCGCTGGCGAACTGGGTGCCCAGTGGTACAGCAAGTCAAGTCTCTTTCCAGGCACTGCAGGACGCAGGTTCGTGTTTGTGTCCGCCGGCTCCCCCGTCAAGGAGAGGTGTGCATGCGTGTGTGGCATGGCCAAAGGTACTCCTGTTGCTGCTATGTGCTCTGTAAGTACTATATGGCGAAACGCTAGTTACGGTTGCTGTGAAAAACTGCAGGTACAGAGTAGCTTGCTATTTAATAAAATAATCAAGCACGTACGACCGACCCTTTTTGCGTTCGTTGTTGTTAGAGGCACGCCTACGGAAACATTCTGAAGGCACCACAACCTCCCCCTTCCAATGCGTCCCTCAACGATACCTATGCCGGACGCAATCCTGCGCGCAGCTGGCGAGCGTCGCAAGACCGATGCCATGTTGGCGGTGGCCGAGTCTATGCTCAACCCGGACGGCAGCAGCACCACTTCTTCCGCCGCCGGCGACGCGACGGCGCCGAAGAGGCCGCTCCGCGAATCGCTGTCCAGCGCCAACAACGAGCGCAGCTCCCGGTCTTCGGCCGGCGACAGCGTCGACAAGTCGCAGCCGCTTCAGCAGCAGGTGCCGCCGGTGACACCGGCGACCTCCAAGCTGTCGGGGCAGGAGCAGGACGCGGTCGTTGCGAAGATTCGGTCTGCGGCGAAGAGGTCTGCGTCTCCGGAGAAGAAGCTGCCGTACCAGGACGACGACACGCCCAACACCAAGGGCGCTCGCCTCAAGAAGGAGATGGAGGTGTGGTTCCGTGCAGAGTGGGTCGATTGATTGGGAACTCGGGGTCTGACGATCGATTGATGAGTGTTCTGCTAGTGGTTGAGCAAATGTTCCAGAACTTGTGTGCTAGCAACTACGGATGCGGAAGGCAAATCATTGCAGATTCATCGTGCGGGCTGTGTTAGTAAGACAGTGAAAAATACTCGTCGTGTCGTGGCTTCACATCAAGGCGTTCACAATCATGGTGTGATGTGCCCCTCCGTGCCTCCGCCCTCTCCTCTACTCCTATCCCCCCGTCAGGACCGCCTTGCCAGGCAGAAGGCGGCGAAGAAGCAGCAGCAGCAGCCCGCCCCAGCCGCCGCTTCGACCGAGGCCGAGTCGCTCCCGACGCCCGTCACCCCGCCGTCGCTCCGCCCCCCGGTGCCCTCCAGCCCGGCCCCGATGCCCCCGGCCTCGCCGCCCCGCGCCGCGCAGTCCCCCCCCCCCCACCAGGGG